TTAAAAAAAAAAAAAAAAAAAACAGTCCAATGTCAGTGATAATTTAAAAAGTCTTCTATGATTTCGGCTGAAATGGGGCCCACCTTGTCAGAGTGACCACGTGTTTGACGTATTCACTCACACCATTTTTACATCCTAATGTTTACACTCGATCCCCCCCCCCCCCCCCTCCCGGGACCACCATCTCTTTTTTTAATATAAATTTAAACCCTCTCTTTTTAACGTCAGATCGCCCAGATCAAAAAATCTTCACGATCTTCCCAAAATACCCCTCTCCTCCCACATTCCCCCACGTCTTTTTAAATTACCCAATTTTTTTTATAATGGTTTAGAAAATTGTCATAGTTTTTTTTTTTTTTATTTATTATTATTAATATAAATTTCAATAAAATGTATGAATATTTATAAAATAACCAAATGCATAAAAATATTTCTTTTTTGTTGATTGAAAAATTCATGTATCTAATATATTATTATATTGTTTATTTTTTTCTTAACTTATTTATGAATATTTGAATTAAAAAATTTATTAATAGGTCAAATATATATTATATACAAAAATGGAAAGTTGTTTATGATTTATTAATAAAAAAAATTAAAAATTTAGAAATTTACATCATAAAGTGAAGGGGGTATTTTCGTCCGATAAAGTCCCGAAAGTTGGCTCTCGTTGTCGGGCTCGTCCCAACACGGTCCTTTTTTACGTCTTTTCACCTAGTAACCCTTGTCCTTTTTCGTCTTTTCACCTATACCTCCCTCTTCCTTCCCTGTATTTCTCTGTCCCTTCCCTCCATTTCCACTCTCCTCGATTTCTGAATTTTTTTTTCTTCCCTCTCTCTCTCTCTCTCTCCGTCTCTCGCTACCATTAACTTTTCTCTCTCTCTCTCTAGAATTTCGTTTCTTTGAAGCGGCGGTACAGAGAGAAGGAAGCCATTGAACCATCTCGAGTTTTCAGGAGGCGTGTTTTCGAGCTCCGGAGAAAGCACAAAATCAGAAGCACTTTTAGGACAGCGAAGAGTCGAACTTCTTGCTCATTTTAATGGAGGAAAGGTCATTCTTGGATGTTGTTTAGCATTTTATTCACTATCTTCTGATGGTGCAATGTCTAAATCCTTATTTGATAATGTGAATGCCGGCCGTTCCTCTCTGTTTAGTCATTACACTGTTTAGAATCCGTCTCTGTGTTTTGGTTCTGTTCTGAGAATTTTCTTTCGTGTTTCTTACTGCAGAGTTAGCGGGTCGGTGAGGTTTCCCTAGGGGTATTTCTCACGGCGTTTTCTAGTTCCGTTTCCTTGAGATTTACGTTGCGATGACTGGTTGACTGATTGGACTCTCCGTGATTTCTTGGGCGATTCATCGAGGTACGGTAAACGAAACTGCTGTTTATTGTTTTTTTTTTTTTTTTTAAATTTTTAACTTGTTTAGTTGGGGTTTCCCGATGTTTGCACGAGCATGGTATCATAAAAAGGACTCCACGAGATGATTCGCATTTGCGGCAATGTAGCTTTTTAGGAAATGCGATTTAAGAACAGATACCATTGATCTCACTGCACATCTCCCTGTCTTTGATTTTATATTTATTGTAGAACACTCCTTTTCAGTTTTCGGTTTAATACTTTTTTACTGAGGGGGTGCTATATACGTGCATCTAAATGGTAGGCTTTCTAAAAGGAACCTGGAGATTCTTTTGAATAGGCTTTGAAGTTATTGACTAAAGGCTCTTCTATTAATAGTAACGCTAGATAATGGAGAGCTTGAAGTGCTTTCTGTCCCCTTTTTTTTTAGATGTTCACGTTAGATAGCGACTATGGCCGTCACCTGCAATTGCGAGATATTCTGTCTTCTGTGGTTTGTTCAATTGATTTTATACGTGCCTAGTGGTGGGTCGATTTTTAATTGGTTATTTGTTTAATATCTCAATAAATATTCTAATGTGCAGTTGAATAATTTTATGAAAGAGCTTGCTTTTGATCTTCATAGCTGTTGTAGGCTGGCCTTTTGGTTAGATCTTCTGGACCATTTGGGCTTTTGTTGCTTAATTCTGTGTGGAAATTTTGAGACCTTCCTGGCATTTTCTTCTTTCCCGTATAATCAGCTAGTTCTTGGTTTCGCTAATGATTGTTTGGATTAGTTCATTGGAAGTGTTTTACTATCCTGTACTCTTTCTGTTTATGGTTACGTTTTCCCCCAAGTTCTGAGATCTCTAACGATGGACTGCCTGACGTAGCAGAAGCTGAATGTTAATGATAGCACGGTAGGAATTTGTGTATACTAAATTAATATCGTCATGCAGCTTTTTGCACATGTAGTTATAGATATTTTATTAAGTTCATGACTTTATCTGATTGTTGCTAACATAAATGTTGCGTGGTTTTGGTGGGTGGGAGAATATAAAAGTACATTCTTGTACTCTTTTGGCTGCCGGCTTTTCTTTTTGTTGCTCTAACATCTCAATGGCATTGAATATCACATGGCATGATATCATTCAAGAGACGTGGTTCATCTGCAAAGTTGTGCATTAGAACTTTACAGTAATCCAAATGTTCGAGTAATGACTTGAAAAACTCATAAATTTCTCTGCTAATGTGTTAGTCGTTCTAATTTTCAGACGGTGATCTGGACATCTTCAATCATCCCTGCCATTTCCCCCCCTCAAGATGGACTCTGTAAAATCTTCCGCTCTCACTCCAAATAAGAGTCGATTGGCATGCACATTTACCAAAGTTCTTCATATTCGAGCTCTAACTGGGATAGCACCAGTTCATGGGACTCAGAAAGTTAAGCCGCAAGAAAAGATCAGTGATGATTGTACAGCAAGTAAGAGTACTGGGATAGCACCTGTGCACGGGACTCAGAAAGTTAAGCCGAAAGAAAAGATCAGCGATGATTGTACAGCAAGTAAGAGTACAGGAAGTCAATCTGAGTCTTTTGATAGTGTCGAAGAAGAGTTCCAGAATAGAGTCCAATTGCAAGCACTGGTAGCAAAATTGTTTGCTAGTATCTCATCAGTCAAAGCTGCATATTCCCAGTTACAGTATGCTCAATCCCCTTATGATGCCGAAGGCATTCAAGATGCTGATCACTATGTTATCTCAGAATTGAAAGTTTTGTCTGAATTGAAACAGTGTTACCTTAAAAAACAGTTTGATCCTTCACCAGAAACCACAATGCTCTTGGCTGAAATTCAGGAGCAAAAGAGTCTTGTGGGAACATATGACATAATGGGGAAAAGATTGGAATCCCAAACAAGACTTAAGGACTCCGAAATTATGTTTCTGAGAGAGAAGATCAACGATATTAGAAAACAGAATAGGTTGCTTGAGAAAAGTTTAAATCAAAGTGGGCCGATTTCTTTCACTGGTGATCTTCACTCATCAGGAGTAAACGCGAGCCATTTCATTAAAGTTCTTGGGCATACAATAAAGTCTGTTCGAAGTTTTGTCCGGATGATGGTGGATGAAATGAAATCTGCTGTTTGGGATGTTAATGCAGCTGCAACGGAAATCGAACCTGATGCTGTTTATTGGCATGATGATCATAGATGCTTTGCATTTGAGGCATTTGTTTTCAGGGAAATGTTCGACTCCTTCCATAAACTCAATTTTTCTCTCCCAAATGAATCCTTGCCCGAAAAAGGGAAACAGAAGCAATTTTTCTATGCAAGATTCATGGAGCTGAAGCTAAGGAAAACAAAAGATTTTCTTTCACAAAATTCTAGGACAGCCTTTGCCAAATTTTGTCGGGTTAAGTATTTGCGACTCTTTCATCCCAAAATGGAATCATCATTATTTGGTAATTTAGACCAGAGAAGCCTAATCAGCTCCGGTCAATTCCCAGATACAACTTTCTTTGGTACATTTGCAGAGATGGCAAGGTGGGTGTGGCTCCTACATTCGTTAGCTTACTCCATTGAACCGGAGGCTTCCATTTTTCAAATAAAGAAAGGAAGCCGATTCTCAGACGTCTACATGGAAAGCGTAATTGATGAAATGTTCCTTTCACCAGATTCTGACCCATTTGTAGCATTCACTGTTGTTCCTGGGTTCATGATTGGTAAAACTGCAATCCAGTGCCGGGTCTATCTCTCACAATGACCATTTCTTTATTAAGGGAACAACAGTATATTATCTTTTACCAACAATCGCAGGCACCAACTCAAAGATCAAGCTGTTCAACAATTTACTTCTCTCGATTGAATAAAGATGGTGGACAAGCTGCTGCACATATTGTGACGCAGTGGCAAACATCCTACTTAGGCGTGCAGTCAAAACGAGTAAGTGCAATTTTCTAGCGATTTTGGAAGTGAAACCGCGTGAACTGAAGTTAATTGAATTGTCTTATTTATCTCGATTGAAAACCATCCCATCAAATTTTGTTAATATTATTATAGGGTCAGTGACAGAGGGATGGTCTGGCTGTTGTGCAACAGAACCAGACAATGCATGTACATGTAAGTAGCAATCACTATTATAAAATTATATATAAAGTTAGATGCCCCATTTAATCTCTCATTTGAACCCTTGAATTCTCTGCAAAACTCTGCAACAAATTGCCAAAATTCTATGTATGGTTCTCCTTGTTTTGATACCATCGGTTAGGATGCTTTCCTGGTTCCAAGAATCTTAAGTAATAGTTCGTTTAGCTTTATTTGACTGGAAAACCCATTGTTTAGCATTATAAGATTCCGATTGCCCTACATATTGTACTGTTTTTATTAGGGTCGGTGATGTTGGGCCATGTGACTGCAAAGCCTTGCCACATTCTTTGTTTTTGATAAAAAATCAATAAAGAGTTTTTAGATACCAAAGAGGCTACCATTGGATTTGAATCAATGACTCCCACCGTATGAAAGCAATACTCTAACCATAGGTCATTTATCATATCACAAAGAAATGAAAACAAATGCCGTATGAAGGCATTGGTTTGTGATGGGCTCTTTGATTTAGTGTCCTCTTGGGATAATCCAATTAGTATTGGCTTCTCGATTGTTGAAAAGGTGAAAAGTCTGATGTATATGGACACTGTTTAAACTTCAAATCATATATGTATTGTACTACCTTAGATTATAAAAATCAGTGCGAGAACTTCGCATGTTCATTGTTGTAGATGGATATATTCAATTGATTATAGGACTGTTGTTGAAATATCATTATAGATAATGTTGAAACTTTTGAAAGGAATTTAACAAATTTATTGAATAAAGGTGTGGAAACTACAACAGACTAAAGCACACAATATGTCGATGTACTTGGTCGGTGTTCTTGGACCTGTACAAATGGTATCAGAGCCCGACATTGAGCGATGTGTTGAGCTATGTGCGGATATGGAAACCTCACAAGATGTGTTTTACAACCCTTGACAATGTATCATAACAACCCGACCATTATGAGAATAGAAAAGAGCAATAATGTTGAAAATTAAAAGCAAATGAACTTGCGAAGTCTAGAAATTTCATATCAGAAATTGCAACCAACCAAACAAAAGTAACTGTTGAGCATTTCAAACAGCATACATTTGCTTTATTTAAATCTAGACAATAATAATACTTTTATTATTACCAAAATGGAGCTGATAGGGTGCTGACTCTAGGCCTCTAGCTCTGAAGGCCTTGGGATTTTGCATTCTGGTCGTTGTGGTCGTTATGGCCATGGTGTCCGTCGGGCCCGTGGGGCCCGTGGGGTCCGTGGGGTTCGTGGGGCCCGTGGGGTCCGTGGGGTTCGTGGGGTTCGTGGGGTTCGTGGGGTTCGTGGGGGCCGTGGGGTTCGTGGGGTTCGTGGGGTCCATGGGGTTCGTGGGGGCCGTGGGGTCCATGGGGTTCGTGCAGGCCGTGGGGTCCGTGGGGTTCGTGGGGTCCGTGGGGTCCGTGAGGCTCGTGGGGTCCGTGGGGTCCGTGAGGCTCGTGGGGTCCGTGGGGCTCGTGGGGCTCGTGCGGTCCGTGGGGTCCGTGGGGTCCGTGGGGCTCGTGCGGTCCGTGGGGTCCGTGGGGTCCGTGGGGCTCGTGCGGGCCGTGGGGTCCGTGGGGTTCGTGCGGGCCGTGGGGGCCGTGGGGGCCGTTTAAGTCCTTGCCGTCGTTGGGGCCATGGTGTCCACCATGTCCATCGATGTGGTGTCCATGCTGTTCATCCAAGCCATCAATATTAGCGTCATCGCCATGGCGGCCGTGGTCAACCTGCTCGTGATCATGGATGTGGTGTACACCATGTGTTTCAATAGGGCGTCCATAGCGATCATCCAAGCCATCAACATCAACATTTTGGCCATGGTGACCTTCATCATAAATGTGGTCTCCACCAGATCCTCCGACATGGTGTCCAATGTGATCATCCAAAATATCAACATCAGTGCCATGGCTATGGTAACCGTGGTCATGAACATTGTGTCCATTACCATATAAGTACTGTTCCTGACTATAGGGGTCGTATACATGACCGTCACTCTCTCCATCACTTCGTTCTTCCCCTACACACAAAATTAATTAAAAACAAAGTATTGAAACTAAAAAGAATAAAAATAAAACAAATTTAGCTTCGAATAAACTAACCGAGGAATCGAGCTGAGACATGGGAGGAGACAAAAAGAAGAGCGAGGAGGAGGTCGAGAAGGAGCAAGGTCCTGTAGTAGGTCATTTTTTGGTGAGTTTTGCTTTGCTAAACAGGTGCTTAACCATTGCCTTTTATAGGTGTCCTTTGGGTAGTTGGTCAAAAATCAAGTAATTTAGTTGAGAAAAATCCACAAGTAATCCTTGTTTTAATACAACAGATAATTGACCATTTCTTGTGGTCATATCCCTAATCAACCCTTAATTATTATGACATATTAATTAACTAATTACCTAAATTTAATAACAATTTACTTAAATAAATGCTAAGTTTATTTAATTAATTTGATAGAATTTAATTTAATTTAAATGCTAAGTTTATTCCACATTAGTTTAATTTTGGGTTGAATAATAAATTGACACGTAGGAAATTAAAAAGAATCATTTAATCATTTAAAAAAAATTTAAAAATGAAATAAAATACTAAATGAATTGATTTGAAAATTTAAACGCTAATAATTTATTAATTTATTCGACTTAGAGGATTATAGTTTTAAATTTTCACCTTTTATTAAATTTAGGTCAAAATTAGAAAGAAACCCATCAATAATATTGAAAAATTAAAAGCAAATAAAGTTTATAAATAGAAATTTTATAATATATAAAAACCACAAAGATCAGAAATTTATTTAAATTTAAAACAGCATACATTTCCTTTTATTTAAATTTAAACACACACGCAACAAACTTTTATTTCATCTTACAACGATAACGATATCGAGCTGACTTTAGACCTCTAATTCTTAACGTCTTCCATTTTTGCATCATGGTCGTGACCGTGGTGTCCATGATGGTCGTGGTGGTCGTGATGGTCGTGGTGGTCGTGGTGGTCGTGATGGTCGTGGTGGTCGTGGTGGTCGTGGTGGTCGTGGTGGTCGTGGTGGCCATGGTGTCCGTCTAAGTCATCAACGTCAGCATCATGACCATGGTGTCCACCATGTCCTCCGCCGTGGTGTCCATGGTGACCATCCAAGCCATCAACATTAGCGTCATGGCCATGGTGACCGTGGTCGTGGTGCCCATGATCATGGTGCCCGTGACTGTCACTCTCTACATCACTTTTCTTTTCCTCTACATACAAAATTAATTAAAAAAAAAAAAATCAATATACACAATAAAAGTACGTGCATATTAAGCATAAATAAATAAAATGAATTTAGGGTCTGTTGGATAATAAAAGTCCTACATCGGTAGAGAATGATCATGAGTTTATAATCAAATAATACTATCTCCATTGGTATGAGCCCTTTTGAGGACACTCAAAGCAAAGCCACGAGAGCTTATGCTCAAAGTGGACAATATCATACCATTGTAGAGAGTCGTGTTCATCTAACAGGGTCGAGTGAACTAACCGAGGAAGCGAGCCGAGACATGAGAGGAGACGAAGAGAAGAGCGAGGAGGAGGCCGAGAAGGAGGAAGGTCTTAGAGTAGGCCATTTTTTTGGTGAGTTATGGTGTGTCGGTGCTTAAACATTACATTATGGGTACCCATTTATAGAGGGTTGTGTTGTGTTAGGTGTTGTTAGTCAAAAATGAAGTATTTTGGTTGAGAAAAACCTACAAGTAATCCATGTTTAAACACTACACATAATTGACCATTTCTTGTAATTAATACGATACATTAATTAACTAATTACCTAAATTTAATAACAATTTACTTAATTAATTTGATAGAATTAACTAGTAGGAAATTAAAAGGAATTATTTATAAAATTTTAAAAATGAAATAAAATAAAATAAAATAAAATATTAACTCCGACAAGTTTCCTAATGTTTGAAAAATGTCCCTTTGTTTATGTTTTGTTGGAAAACCAAACAAAGAAGCTTAATATCATTGGTTAATTTTCAATTTTCTGATGTCTTTTGACATTTTGGACAAATTAATTTTGTTTTTTTGTTATTTTTATAAATTTGTGTGAATGTCGAACGAAATGAATACCTCGTTCTAGATAAGATTTAGAAGACGTCAAATTCTACAAAATAATAATAAAGTTTTCACGAAATTTTTACTTCTAATCTGTCTACGAGTCAATTTAATATTTTGAACATTAAATACTCTATTTTATTCGTTAGATTCAATTTTCACTCCAAATTATGTCTCGCTGAAATGGTCTTAGTTTAGTGGTAATTGACATGCTATTTGTAACCGTCCAACCCCACTGCTAATAGATATTGTTCGGTTCGGTTGTTACGTATCACCGTTAGCCTCACAGTTTTTAAAACGCATTTGCTAGAAAGAGGTTTCCACACTTTTATAAGGAATGTTTTGTTTCCTTTTCCAACCGATGTGAGAGGGCCAACATCCTTACTGATACAACACTCGGTTTGATATTATTGTGACAACTTAAACCTACCGCTGACAATATATTGTTTGCTTTGGCAACTTTATAGTTTTTAAAATGCGTATGTAGAGAAATGTTTTTACACCTTTATAAGTAGCCAACTTAGATCAGCTGGTAGAATGTTTACTTTTTGATAAAAGCATACTATATTTATTTTATTTAGTTGTGAACTTAAGCTATTACATTATATCTTAGATTTCACAGACTAGCTTGTGAATGATGACCTATTCTAGAGCTCGAGATGGACATGAACCCCACAGCTCGAGATGGACATGAAGATTGATCCCCACGAAAGGAAGCAAGATTGCCATGAAGCAAACCAAGATTGTCATGCTCGCTATGAGCAGACGGAGGCGTCGAGCCTCTTGAGAGAGCACGAACTGACCCCTAGACATGAAGATTGATCCCCACGGCTGAAGGAAGCAAGATTGCCATGCTCGCTAAGAGCAGACCAAGATTGCCATGCTTGCTAAGAGCAGACGGGGGCATCAGGCCTCTTGGGAGAGCACGACCTGGTCCCTCAAAAGGAGTGAATTGTAAAATCCAGGGCACGAAATGGACATGAAGATTGATCCCCACTGCTTAGATTGTCATGCTCGATATGAGCAGACGGAGGCGTCGGGCTCCTTGAGAGAGCACGAACTGACCCATCAAGAGGAGTGGATTGTAAGATCAGATTGATCCCCACGGCCTCTTGTAACATCGTTATAGATTTGATATAAAATTTTAATTTCATATCAAATTATAATAGATTCTTCTTAATTATTTTAATAATATCATAGGTATTAGGGAAAATCTAATAAATATAAAATTAATAAATTAAAGCTAACATAATTCATTAAACTTTTCATTATTGAGTTTCTGACGTCGACTTAACTGCCCACGTCACGTCAGGAACTCATATCTGCATGTCCGCCACGTGTCATCTCAAAGATTACCACTGTATTAAATATTTAGGTGATAATTATTCAGACAATTAAAGAACAAAAATAAAATTTATTTAAATTATGTTATAGAACACTGAAAGGCTTCATTTTTTCCGATCAAGTTCTGTAAGAAGATTAATATTCATAAATATATTAGCAAATCTCTGTTTTTTGGTTGCTTTTTCGGGAAGTTTAATGTTTGTTTTAGTTACCGTCGCGATTATTGCTCCGTTCACGGTCCTGATTCAGCCCCCATCCCCGAACGCCGAACTGGAGCTCGGCGGCGGCGATGAGGAACTCCACCGCTTGCTTTGGTGTGAGAAGCTCCACCACCTTCTGCACTGTCCTCAGCCGTAGATCGTCGGCTTTCTTTATAATGCTCACCAGACCTTCCACTTTCTCCGTCAGTTCCGTCCTCGTTCCGATTAGCTCGCTCACGTTGTCTTGCCACTCCGACAGCTCGTCCGTTATTGCATTCTCCTCCTCCACCTACCAAACATTTCCCACCGCCCTTCAACAAAAAAACTACACCCCAAATTCTTTTTTTTTTTTTTTTTTTTTTTTATGTTTGATGACTGTTCTTGTTTAGTTCCAAAGGTTGGTCAGTAATCACGACTCTGTCGACTCGACAGAGAATGATATAATACTGTCCGTATAAGCTCTAAGCGATTTTAAACGAGACCCACCCAACAGTCTTCCCGAACAAGTACACTATAAAGCCTCCTCAATACCCATTAATCGAGGTTTGACTCATTTTTTGAAGCCCTTGAAGGAAGTGCATTAAGTCACTTTGGCCCATGACTTCTTTTTTCTACACTTGAGCCTACACTTTCAAGGCTCACAACTTATTTGTTCGACACTTGAAGTCGAATAACCACCCATTAATTGAGACTCGATTCGTTCTTTAGAGCCCTTGAACAAAATAAACAATTTATTTGACACTATAAACTCGGCATCATTCCCTAAATTAACCCATTTGGGACTACGGTAACGGATGTGTATGTTATTTTTCCACTTAAGAATTAAGAATTCAAAATCTGGGTTTTCATTTCTATACAATTTTGAAAATTATTGGGGTGTTTTAAAGAGTATTAAAAAAAGGAAATTGAAAAAAGAAATGCAAGGAAAAATTAAGCAAAAGGGGGTTAGGGGCTTACAGTTTGGCATTGAAGCTCGCTAACACGGCAAAACTGAGAAGGGGAGAGGTCACCGAGGTCGCCGGTTCGAAGCCCATGGAGAATATCAACGATGCGTGATTCAAAAAGGATGGAGGATTCAGTGTAGATGAGATGAAAAGTGGTGGTGGGTCGCCAGCCGGCGATCCAGTGGAGGGAGCGTTCGAGAGAGGTAGCCCAAGGAGCGGAGAAGACGGAGAGAGGGTCGCGCTCGGCGGCGAGGGACTTGACGTGGTAGTAATCGCTGTAGTGGGACATGACAGTGTGGACGAGGTGGCGGAGGTCATCGGTGGTGGAGGAGCGGTTTTCTTTGGCGGCGGTGGTGGTGGAGGAAAGCTGGTGGATGAGGTGGCGGAGATGGTCAAACCAGGTGGCGTAGAAGCCCGTGAAGTTGAACCCGCTGCTCATTTGGGTTCCACTCCTGGAAATTACTAGAAAGACAGATCAGGATAGCGGTTTTAAAAATCGTTAAGCCAATTTTATGCTATTAAAAAAATAAATAAATAAAGGGGGACGGTGCGTCAGCCTAATAGAGAATCGCCACGTGGACTGCTTACGTGGAAGCAGAATTCTGAAGCGTGTCCACACGGCCGCAAATTAGCTTCCACTCCCATTATTTAAGGGGGTTTTCCATCCATAATTTAGGGGTCTTTCTCTTTCCACGACATCTTCATTTTAAATATATTTACTTACATGCTTTTTTATTTATTTATTTATTTATTTATAAATCAAATTAAATTAAATACATATAATACAATAAAAGTATTATAAAAATGTATTAAGAGTTTGTCAGCTTTAGAACGCTATGTATCATCGTCAGTTTCACTTGTCACAATCGCACTTTTGATGACAGCGGACTTACGATTGTGCAGCACTCATTTCCCAACCACAAGTAAGTTAAGTCAATTCGTTCTTATGTCGCCTACGGCTAAGCGACGTATACTCGAGCCTCTGACCTTAATTTAAGAAGAAGGTTTTAGAAAACGAGGAGAGAGCTAGATTTTTGAAATAGGTATTATTTATGCAAGCAAAAGAGTAACAACAACGGTTAACAATATATAACTATTGGTAGAGAGAAGTTAATTAAGGAGAGTGTTTCACACATTTATAAATAAAATAATGTTTCGTTCTCTACTCTAACAAATGTGGATCTCACAATCCAACCCCTTGGAGCCCAACATTTTTGCTGACACGCCGCTCAGTGTTGGACTCTAACACCATTTGTAACAGTCAAAATCCATTACTAGCAAATATTGTTCATTTTGGCTCGTTACGTATTGACGTCAAGTTCACGACTTTAAAATACATTCGCTAATGAGAGGTTTCACACTTTTACAATAAATATTTTGTTCCCGTATATCTCAAGTATATATTTACTTTTAGTCATCATTATTAATTTTAAGTTTTTATATTTTAAAATGAAAAATTCAAATAAAAATTTAAGAAGTTAAATTAAAATTGTAATTTATTATAATTAAATTATATGTTTAATACATTAATTTTTAATTTTGTAGAATTATATTATATCAATCTTAATAATAGATTAGTTAATTTTATTTTATTTTTTTATTGTGTTGAGTTATTTATTAAATACTAAATTTAAATTTGAGGGAATTATTTATTTTGTTTTTACGGCCTACAAAGGGCGCCTTTGATGCTTCATTACAATGGCGTAAAACCCTGAACCCTTGACTTTCATAGCTTTGTTCTAGTTGTCTATGTCTCGCTTCAGAGTTCTTCATCGTCGAATTGATTCCCAACTTGGAAGCTATTTCTTCAGTTCACAGTCTACAAATTCCCTCCAATTTCACTCTCTTCCATCTACTTCTCGAAGATCTCGAACTTTCTCGCCGAAAATCGATGGCGGGATCGGACCAGAAATTGTAGATGTGAAGAGGAATATACGTTCGGATTCTGTGGTTAACCAAGGCGCGAGATCGGGCGGAAGTAGAAATGAGGACAATGTGCTGAAAGGGAGAGTGGATTCTAAGGGGCGAGAGATATTGAAAAGGGAGAACGCTTTGG